AGGTACTTACTATCATATCTGGTGGACATGCCCTAAAGCTAAAAGAGTTTGGTCAAAAATACACATATGGTTAGAGCAGACATGTCAAACACAAGTCCCGGGGGCTGGATGCAGCCCGTGAAGTAGTTTCATGTCACCCGCGAAGCCATCCTGGAAACAGTGAGGGAACGGCCCCCGCTGCCTTGGCCCTGGCCCAGGCCAGCCGGGAGCCAATGTACAATTTTGTGGTGGCCATCTATGCTGAAATGCATTTAAAAAACATATAGACTTTAAGACAGAATTATTTTTGTTAGGCATAATAATAGGAAACTATGAGAAAGAATGTATATGCTTAATTTGACATGTATTAATTGCAGCAAGAATAGTATTTGCTCAATATTGGAAAAATGAAAACCTACCAACGGAAGAAGAATTAATTAAAAAAATTTTTAGACTGTGCAGAAATGGACAGATTGACATTGAAGATAAAAGAGAAAGAAGATTCAGTATATTTTAGAACATGGGACAATTTTTATCAATGGCTAGAAAAATGACTACGGAGAAAGGAATGTAATATGTACTATGTAGCATGAAATATGTCTTAGTAAGAAGAAGACTATCGGGTGAAGAGAAGATTTAAGAACTATATTATCAACCAACATATCGATTATGAAAATATGGAAACTATGTACCATTAAATATGTATTAGTAAGAAGAAGACAATCGGGTGACGAGAAGATTTAAGAAATATATTATCAACCAACATATTGATTATGAAAATATAGAAACTAATTATTATTGATCGTTTTTTAAACACATGAATCCAGATAACATGCTGTTTGCGGGACCATCAATCAGGATTACAATCTATATTTTTTTTCTAGTTGAACCACAAGGGCATCTCCAGAGAATTCCACTGAAACAGTAATTCCATTTGCAAAATGATTGACACAACCTAGCGTGGCAATGTGTGAAGGCCCATTAAGCTATATAGCCGTAATTCTCAGTCTTGACTTGCTACATCTTTAAAATGCAGTGCAGTTCAATTTTTACAAGGATATTTAGTGTGGAGAGTGAGTGAACTGCAAAGATAATGCCAAATTCTTCTAGTTTCTATTCTGGCATCAATACACCAAGATTGAGTCTTATTTTTTTTTAAAATAAGACTTTCAAAACATGGCCCATCCCTATACTGAAGTTAATATTTCTGCTAGTCTTGTCCAATAAACTATCGTGAAATTTCTTGACCTTTTGTTTTCTTTCAATTGCAATTCTCTTTTTCAAAATAATAATAATAATAATGATAACGTTGGAAGGGACCTTGGAGGTCATCTAGTCCAACCTCCTGCTTAGGCAGGAAACTCTATACCATTTCGGACAAATGGCTGTCCAGTTTCTTCTTAAAAACTTCCAGTGTTGGCGCATTCACCGCTTCTGGAGGTAGGTTGTTCCACTGGTTAATTGTTCTAACTGTCAGGAAGTTTCTCCTTAGTTCTAGGTTGCTTCTCTCCTTGATTAGTTTCCATCCGTTGCTTCTTGTCCTGCCTTCAGGCACTTTGGAGAATAGCTTGACTCCCTCTTCTTTGTGGCAGCCCCTGAGACATTGGAACTCTGCTATCATGTCCCCCCCTCGTCCTTCTCTTCATTAAACTAGACATACCCAATTCCAGCAACCGTTCCTTATATGTTTTAGCAGTTAGATGGAGAATAATTTACACCGTGTCATTATTCAGTTCTAATGAAAAGTTCTTTAAGAGCTCTTCCCATTTGTCCCCCAACTCTGCTTTTGGGGGCCTTCGATCAAAAGCAATTTCAAGGTGACTGAAAAGATGCAACTGGGACCCCCTTTCAGCTGCCAAAAATACAAAATCCTCCATTTCTCCAGATTTGGTCATATTCAGGATTGGGGTTTTATCTTCCCAAACTCAGTTCTGTTCCATCAAGATTATGTTCTACACCAGGGGTCTTCAAACTTGGCAACTTTAAGACTCGTGGACTTCAGCTCCCAGAATTTCTCAGCCAGGAGTTGAAGTCCACGAGTCTTAAAGTTGCCAAGTTTGAAGACCCCTGTTCTACACCAGTGTTTCTCAGCTGTGGCAACTTGAAGACACGTGGACTTCAACTCCCAGAATTTTTCCCCTCTGGTATGCTGGTGGGGAATTCTGGGAGTTGAGGTCCACTCATCTTCAAGTTGCCAGGGTTGAGAAATACTTGTCTACACTAGGGGTAGGCAACCTTGGCTCTTTTATGACTTGTGGACTTCACCTCCCAGAATTCCTGAGCCAGCCATGCTGAGGAGAAAGGGAGAGGTTTCCATGGTGAGCCATGACCTTTCTTGCCGCAGTTGTTAAGTGAATCACTGCAGTTGTTAACAACACAGTTGTTAAGCAAAGCTGGCTTACACCCAATGGAGGTTTTTAAGAAGAGATTGGACAACCATTTATCTGAAATGGTATAGGGCAAGTCTTTTATGACTCGTGGACTTCAACTCCCAGAATTCCTGAGCCAGCATGGCTCAGCTTGGAAACCTCTCCCTTTTCCCTCAGCATGGCTGGCTCAGGAATTCTGCGAGTTGAAGTCCACGAGTCATAAAAGAGCCAAGGTTGCCTACCCCTGCCCTATACCATTCAGACAAATGGCTGTCCAGTCTCTTCTCTTAGCTACAAGTTTGAAGGCAGCTTTTCCTCACTATTTTCTTTAATAGACAGTTTTTATGCAGATTTTCTCAGTCATGGTTTTCTTCATATAAATATTAGTTAAAAACCAACTATTTTCTGTATATGACAGGGGTAGGCAACCTTGGCTCTTTTATGACTTGTGGACTTCAACTCCCAGAATTCCTGAGCCAGCATGGCTCATCTTGGAAACTCTCCCTTTCCCCTCAGCATGGCTGGCTCAGGAATTCTGGGAGTTGAAGTCCACAAGTCATAAAAGAGCCAAGGTTACCTACCCCTGGTCTACACATCTGACAATTAATAGAAGATTCAGCAGAATTAGTGGAGATTCCTGTTGCTTTTTTTAAAAAAATATTTAAAATAAAATAAATAACACCCATGCAGAATTCCTCTCTCGCCTTGGTCTTCCAGCAAGCTCTTAAAGTACAGCACTCTCTTGAGCTTTGCAGCTAGTTTCCGGTTTAAGAAGGTAGTAGCATGGCTGAGGAAACGAAAGTCCTCTTGATATTATTAAACTATCATTCTCAGGTTCCCTTGGTGTTGATTTGCTTCCTTAAGAGTACTGGAAGTTGTAGTAAAGCTAAATCACACGCCTACAGGTTGACAGACTAAATCAAAAATCAAAAACTGACAATGGTACCAATAAAGGAGAATATTTGTAGCACAGGGTTGAAATGAGGGGTCCTTGGTGCACTCTCAGCTTGGTGGTTTTCTTGCAGACATTCATTACCCAAACTAGGTAACATCATCATCAGTAGGATGCTACCTAGTTTGGGTCATGAAATGTCGGCAAGAAAACCACCAAGCTTCAGAGAGCACCAAGGATCCCTCACTGACAATGATGAAGGCATTCTTCTAATCTTGACCATCTCATAAAACTATCTTGGTTTCAGCCTTGGAGATAGGGCGTAATTTGGTGGCCTTAGAGCAGGGGTGTCAAACTGCCAGCCCGTGGGCTGGTTTCATCATACTGGAGCCGCACCCACCCCATTGCCGGCAATGGCGAAAAAGCTCTGATACGTTGCGTGACGTCACGTGACGTCACGAGTTTGACATGTCTGCCTTAGAGCATCGAAGAGAAGTCCTGCCCAAGCTATTTCCTAAAGCACTTGGCCTTAAGGTGGAAGCTCTCCTTTCTAATGATCTTTGAGGAGGTAGATCAGTGGTCTTCAAACTTGACAACTTTAAGACTTATGGACTTCAACTCCCAGAATTCCTTAGCCAGGAATTCTGGGAGTTGAAGTCCACAAGGCTTAAAGTTGCCAAGTTTGAAGACCCCTGAGGTAGATGAACGCCACCTGAGATAGTGAAACGAAATGTTTAGCAGTTAGGTGGGACCTGAATTTCAGAATCTCCTGCTTATGGTTATGGAAAGAAGGAATGATAGCAACATCTCTAAAAATGATTCATATTAAGTTCTTAGGGCAGTGGTTTCACAGAACAAGAACAGACCTCAGAAGCTCAAAATATATCAGCGGGAAACCAGCAGAAGGCAAAAGAGGAAGCAGAGAAAAAAGGAAGGCGAATAAAAGTGAAAGATAAAGCACAACATGGCTGCTCATCGATTGCTGCTGTAAGGAGTCCTTCCAGACTAAAAAAAATAATAATAGATGCTTGAGAAGGACTGGATAGGTGGACAAAGGGCCAAATCCAGTCTAAACATCTGGCTGACTGTACAACAAATCCTAATAATCACCTTCAATTCCACATACGTTCTGTTTAGTTTTCAAAATGCTGTGAGAGTATCATCCCGCAACATCCAAAATATAGTTACTTATTTATTACAGCAGTAGGATCAAGTTTTCTGAGGAAAGCAAGTTCAGAACCTCGGGAACACTTGCAGCACTAATGGAAAAAAAAAAGGAAAGACAACATCTCTCCAAGAAACTAAAACAAACAGAATGTCTGAAACTTTTTTTAAAAAAACTCGTGAAAACCTTTTTAACTATTTCAAATTTCTCTACCTCATGGACAAGCGCTAGGCTACCATCTTCTTCAACCCAAGAATACAAGAATATCAAGATTATTGAATATGTAGCATGGCACGTAATCCAATCTCTTAAAAACCTCCAGTTTTGGACACCACAATTTCTGGAGGAATCGGTCTGGCTTTTAATTCATTAATTGTTAATTAATTAATGAATTGTTCTAACGCTTGCTGCCATGTTCCACAACTAGAACCGAAACTTCAAAGAAGAACAACATCAGTTTTGCAGGACAACCACTGCCATGGGACTTGCCGCTCCACATCTCAGCACCCTTCAGTTCCCATAGTAGGAAAAGCTTCTTTCAGATGAAAATAGAAGACACGTTTTAAGGGGAATCAAAGGAAAAATGACGCCGTACCTCATTGTCTTGGTGCAGATCTGAGAATTATGGCTAGTTCCTTGCGCCTCTTTTGCTGCGTCGCAACAGTTTGGGTAATTCTGAGTGTGTGTCTTTGCAACCCAAGGTTTCGCGACGGCCTCTCCGTTTCCTTTGTGGTTGCGTCACAGGCTACAGCTTCCGTTACTTATGAGTTCCCAAGTCCCTTTCACACTAAGTCAATGTTTTTTTCTTTTCTTTCTTGGAAATGCTAGCAGCATTATCAGTGGTTTTAAGAAAGAAACAGGGGGTGGGGTAATTGTCTTCTGCTTCATGAAGAAGCTTTTCAATCTGTTTTTTAAGATCTACATTTCCTACTTTCATATCCACCATGAAAGAAGCATTAAAAAAAAACCTGTTTAAGTTCCTACTCAGTGATGAAACTCAGTTTCGTTCTTAACCCTTGATGATTATTAGAAGTTAGAGGTTACAATCACTTAAATATGAGCCAGCCGTGTGCTGCAGCTGCCAAAAAGGCCAACACAGTGCTGGGCTGCATTAACAGAGGGATAGAATCAAGATCACGTGAAGTGTTAATACCACTTTACAATGCCCTGGTAAGGCCACACTTGGAATACTGCATCCAGTTTTGGTCACCACGATGTAAAAAAGATGTTGAGACTCTAGAAAGAGTACAGAGAAGAGCAACAAAGATGATTAGGGGACTGGAGGCTAAAACATATAAGGAACGGTTGCTGGAATTGGGTATGTCTAGTTTAACGAAGAGAAGGACGAGGGGGGACATGATAGCAGTCTTCCAGTTTCTCAGGGGCTGCCACAAAGAAGAGGGAGTCAAGCTATTTTCCAAAGCGCCTGAAGGCAGGACAAGAAGCAACGGGTGGAAACTAACCAAAGAGAGAAGCAACCTAGAACTAAGGAGAAACTTCCTGACAGTTATAACAATTAACCAGTGGAACAACCTGCCTCCAGAAGCAGTGAATGCTCCAACACTGGAAGTTTTAAGAAGAAACTGGACAGCCATTTGTCTGAAATGGTATAGGGTTTCCTGCCTGAGCAGGGGGTTGGACTAGATGACCTCCAAGGTCCCTTCCAACTTTATCATTATCATTTATCATTATTATTATTAGTTCCTACTCAGTGATGAAACTCAGTTTCGTTCTTAGCCCTTGATGGTTATTAGAAGGTAGAGGTTAAATGTACAACAAATATGAAGTCACTTTTCTATCCTCTGTCAAATGAGCCTTCTCAAATGAAAATGGTCCTATCTGAGGACATGGCCCTTGGTCCTTTCAATAAACAGTCAATACATTATATTGAAAACCAAATCCTCTAAGCATGTACAAAGTGCCTTCCTTTCTTATGCGGAGACTTGAAGTTTGAGGGAGAGGCAGAGACTGAGAAGATAACTTTCGAGATTCCTATATGCCAAGGCAACGGGAGATCTGTGAAGAGGATCTTAATGTTTGGACAAGTCAAAGCAAAGAGAAGAAATGGCTGGTAGAGAACAAGGAAGAACAGAATAATATCAATGATAGCATGAACAGGAATCTAGAAGAACTAAAAAAAAAAAGTAGTTATGGACAGGATAACCTTGGGAACTGAGATGTATTGGGTTACCTAGAGTCAAACCAGTTGGAAAATTGAATCACTTCTATCAATGGGATATTTCTCATGTTCCTGCCTAAAACTATGCCCCAGACTATTCTAGGTCACAGAGTGGGCAGGGTCAAGCTATTCTCCAAAGCACCTGAAGGCAGGACAAGAAGCAATGGATGGAAACTAATCAAGGAGAGAAGAAACCTGGAACTAAGGAGAAATTTCCTGACAGTGAGGACAATTAATCAGTGGAACGCCTTGCCTCCAGAAGTTGTGGGTCCTCCAACACTGGAGGTCCCAAACTGCTTTTCCAAAAGACAACTGGACTTTCTTGTTTTTTTTCCCTTGAAAATGTTTCATTTCTCATCCAATGAGCTTCAGTTCTGAACTGAAGAACTGAAGAAGTTTCTTGGGTGAGAAGTGAAAAGTTTTCAAGGGAAAAAAACCCCAAGAAAGTCCAGTTGACTTTTGGAAAAGCACCTTGGGATTACCATGACCTGGATGATTGAGACTCTCTATAATCCATCACTGGAAGTTTTTAAGAAGAGATTGGATAGCCATTTGTCTGGAAAGGTTTAAGGTCTCCTGCTTGAGCAGGGGGTTGGATTAGAACGGATGTCCCCAACTTTTTGGGCACCAGGGACCGGTTCCGTGGAGAGAGGTTTTTCTGTGGACTGGAGAGAGTGTGGTTTTGTGTGCTGCCTGCATCTCACGGATGGGGCTTTTCTTGTTTGTGCGGACCGGTGGCTAGTATGTCACGGCCCGGTACTGGTCCACAGACCGGGGGCTGGGGACCCCTGGATTAGAAGACCATCAAGTTCCCTTCCCACTCTGTTATTCCATTACCTCTGTTCCCACAAAAACGACGTCAACTCAATCACAGGACGTACGTTGGGGTTCCCGTATTCCATTTTTTCACGAGTCCCTCTCCCAGGCACCGGGGTACTGATGGCAAACCTCATGCCTGGCGCCCTGAAGCATAACGGCGGAAGCTAATGTGACACATTATTATGCTTATCTCGGAAAAGAAATATTACTGCAAAAGCAACTTAAGTGCTCCAAGCTTTCCTTGCATGGCAGAGTCTAATTTTAGAACAATTCCCTCGTTCGGCAGAAAATCCACGGCGTATACAGCCAGGCCCATTTCTACCATTAAAAAAAAAAATGCTAGAGTGTAAGTCAGATGTGCTCATGAGTGCATTCTTGTGTAGGACAGATAAGAAGCTGAAGGGATCTGTCATTTCAGCAACGGCAGGATCAAAATTGATAAAAGGATAGAAAGAAAGAGAGCAGAAGGGGCAGGAAAGGCTTCAGAGTTGGATCCAACAGGAAGTCCTCAACTTATAACAGTTCCTTTAGTGCAGTGGTTCTCAACCTTTTTAATGCCGCGACCCCCAACCGGTCGTAAGTCGAGGACTAAACCGGTCGTACGTCGAGGACTAAACCGGTCGTACGTCGAGGACTAAACCGGTCGTAAGTCGAGGACTACCCAACCGGTCGTAAGGTGAGGACTTTCCCTGCCCGGGAGCGCCGTGCATGTGTGGTTCCGCCCCCTGCGCCGGCCGAGGCGTAGCTGGCAAGTGGCAGAGACGGAGCAGGCCGACCACCAGCTGGCCCAGCCCAAGGGAGGTAAGGCACCCGCCAGAAAAGGGGAAAAAAATGGCGGACAAAAAAAATGGCGGACAAAAAATTGGCGGTCAGCCTTGCTTGGCGACCCCCGTGAAATGGTCGATCGACCCCAAATGGGGTCGTGACCCATAGGTTGAGAACCGCTGCTTTAGTGACTGTTCCAAGTTACCAAGGCACTGGAAAAAGTGGCTTATGACCATTTTTCACATTTTTTAACGACCGTTGCAACCTCCCCATGGTCACGTGATCAAAATTCGCCCGCTTGGCAACCGACTCATAGTTATGACGGTTGTTGTGTCCCGGCGACCTTCTGACAAGCAAAGTCAATGGGGAAGCTGGATTCACTTGACGGTTGCAAAATGTGGCAAAATTCACTGAGCAACTGTCTCGTTTCGCGACCAAAGGTTTGCGCTCAATTGTGGTCGTTAAGTTGAGGACTACTTGTATTTTAGCCCCTGAGATGCTTCTGTCCCACAAATCATCCGTGAAAATCTTTTGCATGCCGCATCAGAGTAAAGGTGAACCTTGCTGCATGGAAACAGGCTTAGGACTGCAACCTTGACTGCTTTAATTTGACGTTCCATTGATGTTCATTGCTGCCAAGCCAAGATAAGGAAACAAATCTGCAGATACTGTTCTGTAGATCTGTGGGGGTCCTTAATGTTCTGTGAGCTTGGTGGTGTTCTTGCAGACGTTTCATTACCCAATTAGATAACATCATCAGAGCCAGAAGGGAGTGAGTGAGGTTTGCTCTCTGTTTATATACAAGCAGCTTGCCCTGTCAGTGTTGGTTCTTGGAGACAACATTCTTCTTTCTCTCACCATCACTTGGAGGGCAAGCCACTTGTGTACTAAAGAAAACAAATCCCATTCCTTAGAGCAGTGATGATGTTACCTAGTTAGGTAATGAAAGGTCTGCAAGAAAACACCCAAGCTCAGAGAGCACCAAAGTCCTCACAGTTTAACCCTGAGTTACCAATTTTATCTTCTATTTCTACATCTATAGCTGTACCATTCACAAGAAGCAACGGAATGGAAACTAATTGAAGAGAGAAGCAACCTAGAACTAAGGAGACATTTCCTGACAGTTAGAACAATTAATCAGTGGAAGAACCTGCCTCCAGAAGTTGTGAGTGCTCCAACAGTGGAAGTTTTTAAGAAAAGACTGGACAACCATTTGTCTGAAATGGTATAGGGTTTCCATGGGGTTGGACTAGAAGACCTCAAAGGTCCCTTCCAACTCTGCTATTGTTATCTTCATTTCAAATTCCATCAACCCAGAGGTTTTCATCATTAATGATGTGTGAATCTAAGCTGGAAATCGAGTATTACTTCAGCTGAAATAATCCCTAGCAACTGAGCACAGGGTGTGCTAGGCTAATCCTAAATCTGATAGCAGACATTTGAAGAGGAAATTGACACACAACCCAAAAAGGAAACCACAAAAGAAGCAGCTTCTTAAAGCAAAGAAGGAGGAAGCTGTTTCGTTGCCAGTGTGCTTCTGCAGAATTTGCATTTCAGCCCATCCTTCCAGCATTGAGGCCCCCCCCAGATGTGTGTGGGGATGAGAAAATGGGGGGGAGCTGTAACTTCAGAACATCTGGAGGGTACCTGTTTGAGAAAAGGCTGCTTTACGTGACTAAGTGAAGAGAAATTGGGGAGAGTTGTGGTGGAAAGAATTTAAGGATAGGGTGCAATGAATGGCTGTATGTTAATATCCAAAGGGTATTTAAGTTGGTAGGACATGAACGACGGCATTTATTTATTTATTTGATGTTTGTCTTTATTGCTTTATAGGTAACTAAAGGCAGTGTACATATATAATACTCCTTTTTCCTCCTTCTAATTTCCTCACAACAACAATCCTGTGAGACATAGGT